AGTGCATGTCGTTTCATGGCACTTTTTATTATCCCAGCCAGAACTATAGCATTTTTGTCACCATAAACCCACCAGTTCACAGAAAAAGCGATTGAATCTTGTTATCAGGACTCCTGGATCCAATTTGGTTCTCTTCGTCCGACACTACTACGTTTTTGCCACATCTATATATATATAAAGGGACAGGTGTGACATATATGCTAGAGTTCGGGGACGAACAAATGCCACGGGACCAATTGCATGCCGAGGAAAAGGACAGGTGCAAGTTCCTGGTGAGAGATTGGCCTTCGCTTTCACGGTGCGCGCACACTCAAAGTATGAGAAGGATTTTTTGTCGGCACCCATTTCTTGCTTTCAGTCTCCTCTCTGTCAGAATCTGCCCTTAATTTCCTCCCGCCTCTAATTCTTTCAACGCTACTCTGGAGATCTTCTACAGCTCTAAGATAATTACCTGATGCCTGCGATGTTAGTGCACACTTGATATGTTCACGCACGCATCTGTGGCTGCCGGATTGTCGCTGATTTGCTTTTAAGAGATTGTTTATGTTTATTTTTAAACAAAAAATACTGTTAAAAAATACATGCAATACCGCATACACACTAATTGATTAAGGAGATATCAATTAGAATTACGGTCTCTAATCTTTCACGACTCCCAGTATTTTTTATTTTATTTTTTGCTAGCCTGGCTAGCCTTGAGCTGCTAACGACTTGCAGCGCCTCTAATTTTGAAAGGATGACCTGAACAAGGAATACATTAATCTTGCAAATTAAGCAGCAGCAAATCGAGGCGATCGTCTTTCTAAATGCGTAAAGAAAAAGAAATCAAGAAAATGAAATGATTCACCTAACAGAATAACACATGATCGTTAAAAGGAAGAGGGCATTTTTATTTCTCTCTTCATTTTCCGAAATTCAGCGGCACCGGGATATGGAGGCAGCAATTATTCAATAATGACAGATTAAAAGAAAAGCTGCAAGAAATAAAAACTGCAATGAGAGGAAGCTTTCCAAGGATTTTGTCGCATGCACAATTACACCCTCTCGAGAGAGAGGGCAGTCTGCACAGAATGGAGAAAACATTTGAGCAGAGAAAGGAGGGATGACTGGCTAGCTGGCTTTTACTTGTTGGCATCCATGCAATGGTCCAGTGTAAAGTAAAAGTCGGTGGTTCTTGTCAGCGGAGGACAGACAGCTTACAGAGTCACCCACCAGCTGTCAGCACCACTCCCTTCCCATGATGCGTCTATCTTGTCTCAGTTGCGACACGTGTAAGCTCACCCTGAGGTAAAAGTGGCATTCAGGGGTCTAATATTGGGATCTTTTCTGATTCTCAACTCATGGGCACGCAGTTCTGAAATTGCCCTTGCCCCTCGTATTACGAAGAAATTAAATAATTATAAAAATTAAGGAATTTCCCAGCCATCTCATACCCTTGCACTGTCGATTTTACCCTCTGTTGTCGATGACCTTTCCACTCCATGACCTTTTTCTCCAGACACTGGTTCGGCAGACGAAACGACACCATGTGGCATTCGGTCATATACAAAATATTCTCAAGTTATCTTTTGCACCGCGGCCAATCAAAATGCAGTTTTTTTTCTCTTAGCCAGTTGGCATAAGGTTTCTTTACTTAATGAATTGTTTGTATAAAAACCTAAAACTGAAAATTATAGTTGTAAATACTGTAAATAAGAGCTCCGCAGGCGGCGTCGTCTTACAAAAACATGCTATGTCCCTTTTTCGTCGCATGCTAGTTCAGGTGAGGTATTATTATATCTAACGAGACAGGGGACTTTTGTGTTGACAGGCGAACCGCCCAATTTATCTTACAAGTCATGGAAAAGCCCAGCAAATTCATTGAAGTTTTTGTAGGCTTCATCCCCTACCACTTTCCTGGATATTTCAGAGAAAAGCTTTACCTCTGAGTTCCCGATGTTTTACGGTGGAAAAGCGCGCATATATATATATATATATATATATATAATTTTTTAATGTTTTTATATTTTCTAGATTAGTTGATGTTAAAAAAAATTATATTTTATTTATAAATAAAATATATTTTAAAAAACAGTCTTTATCGCAATGTTTCATAAGATTTTAATATACCCGACTATAATGAATTAACTAGATTAAACAATTTATATTTTTTTTCCTCTTCTTGTTATCTTCTCTTCTTATTATCTTCTTTTCTAATCTGGCATTGGTTGAGTCTTAATTGACTCTGGATTGGTTTAATTTTAACTAAATTTAAAAGTTTTAAAAAAATTAAAGATAAAATTTAAAAAATAAATAAATATTAAAAGATAAAATTTTAAAAACATAATCATATAAAAAAAATCAAGTAAATTTGAATGAACTTACTAGACACGAGTTAATTCTTTTAAACCACAATCTGTGAAATTTTAAATTTAAATTCAACTAAAAAGCTTAATTCTCCACTAATTAATGTTGAATCATAAAATTTAAAAAAATATTTTAATATAAAAATCCTATCAAAATAAAAGGAAAAACTAGTAATTAAAATAATAGGAATCAAGCATGATATAAAAATAAAATATTGAAATGATCAATTTTAAAAAATCAACAAAAAAGTGATCAAAAGCAGAACAAATAGTGATTAAAAGGAGGTCAAGTGCAATAATTAAAGCGGGATAAAATTAATTATTTTAAAAAATTAAATAATTTAAGATAAAATAAATAATAATTAAAAAAATAATAACCGGGTATAAAAGCAAAAAAAATTAAAAGAAAATTTAGAGGTTTGAGGACTAAAAAAAAAAAGAAACAGAGATAGATAAAAAAAAAAATTACCAATGTCAAATAAAAAATATGTACTCCACACATATTGTTAAAAAATAAAGGAGTCACTAAGTGTTTCAAACACCACTATAAAAATTATTATTGGATGAACACTTTTATATACACCACTTAAATAATATAAAGGTGTTTCACATATAAATATATATACTGTACACATTATTAATATTTTTTTATATAATTATTTACTCACATTGAAAGTATAATATAAAAAATGCAACATTAAAATTAAAAAAAATTCATAAATACTAGTTTTATAAATTTTATTTTCAAAAATCATTTAGATGCTTAGAAAAGCGAACAAGACAAATATATTCCCGAAGTAATAGGCTTTGCAGAAAAAAACAGGATCACCTCAAGTAGCAAGGCAATTGTTTTATTCTTTTTGGAAGGGAAAAAGGATAATTATTTTATTGCGGTGGATTATGATACATGTCTGGGATACACTGAACCCCTCCTTTCATTTTAGCTTCCTTTTTTCCGTGCAGTTTTTCATTTTTTTTTTCTGAAACTGAATGGATTTTTTTACGTGGAAAAAGGTCAAATAATAACCACTCAGAATAAAAAAAATAAATCATTTTATTTAATTTTGATTTATTTTTCTTACAACTGGTCGCCCGCACGAAATAATTTTTTTTATAAATAATATGATATCTTCCCTTGATTTCTCACATAAATCCAATCATGACATGAAGCACAACAAAGAAAAACGCCGGGTTTTTCGAGTTTTTAAAGTATAAAATTAAATTGCAGAAAAGACTCTTGTCTGAAAAGTCCTGAATGAATCTAGGAATAACAAATATGTTTAATTTACTTTGAAAATCAGCTACCAGAGTGTTTAAATAGAGGCCAAACCAATATAGTCAGTTAAAATCTATCACGATTAAAATTTAAAACTATAACTCGGAGATTAATAAATTAATAAAATAAAAATAAAAAAATCTTAAATAACATCTTCCAAGAATAGTCTTAGCATGATTCGGGTCCGGTTGTTTAAAGTAAAGTGATCTACTATAGAACCATTCTTGTAGAACACGTTGATAAAATTTTAACCTGGTTAAATAGTTTAATAAAAAAAATTATATATTTTTTTAAAAATGCTTACGCAATGCTTCTATTTTTTTGTATTAAATGAACATGTCAATACGTATTCCACGTGGAATGCATAAGAGACGAAACAACCCCAGAACAAAAACACACAGAGCCGTTGTGCGCAGCGTGCGTTTTGTTCTCCTCCTCTAACCAGCCCCCGATTGACATGGTGAATTAAGTTGATCACCGAGCTATAATTTGCCAGTTAGACAAGGATTGATTTAACAAACTCAATAGCTTGTCCAGGATGACACGAACGTTTCATGTGTCGTTGTCTTGGACAGTTATGGGCTTCTTCCAGGCAATACCAAAATGAAATTGTCTCTGATCTCCTGATTAAACCTCCAGTACCGTCCGATGATTATATAGTCGCTGTAGTCAACCGCCATGAATTCTATGCACTAAACTTATAGCTAGAACAACAACCAACACGAGTTTACAAGCAGGAGGGCAAGCCACAATAATCTTCAAATTAAGGAGGCATGCATACCTTCTTCACCACCACCAAC